TTGATCAAGAGAAGCATGCTATTCGGAACTTTCTTGATAGTTATGCTTCTGAAACACTACACTTTAACTTAAACTCTTGATCGATATGAGGATCTTGCAATGCTAGCATGTTTGCGAATATCTGCACTAGTGATCGAATCTTTATCCATAATATCCAAGTTGCCCTGTTAGCTGTCGTTCTTCTAGTATCACCCCACCTACTTGCGTCATGATCCGTGACTTTTGAAGATATGTCGAGGAACTTTTGCAGATTGTTGTTGTCGGCGAAGCGTCAAATGAACTGGTGAAGAGTTTCCGGGAGGAGATAAATACGCACTACATTTGGAATAGTTTGATTCTGTTTCTGGATCCCACTACTGGCAAGTATTTTCGGTAGCACTGTCATTACTGGATCTACCTTTTAGTGGTCAAATGTATTTCAGATAACTCTTTCCTTACTGAAAGAAGTGAAGTGTACGCGGATATGTTGAAGAGAGAGGAGCCCACTGTGTTCATTTGTGCCAATTTCACATGTGGTCCTCCAATAACATCTCTAGATGAGCTAAAAGCATCACTGAAGCAGCTAGTTGATCAGAAAATGTAATTCTCGACGTTATTCAGCTGACCAAGAGGTGTAAATAGTTCATTCAGTTCTACCTCATCTCGGGGCTGTATATTTTGACGCTTTCTAGTCTTCTGGTAACTCATTTCTCCTATTTTACTTGCCTAGAGGTTTTGTTATCTGCTTAATTAGTTTACTAAAACATGTATTCAATTCGGTTGGCAAATTATCCAATAAACTTTCTAAATTGACTGATGCTTCTAGAAAGGAGTAATTTAATGTTTATGTTCTGTACAGTTAACAATAAAAATATATATCTTCTTTGCCCCATCCTGTCTTCAGACGTTTGTCGAGTCCTGAAATAGCATTACTGAAAATTTCAGTTGAAAAAACCTTTGTATATTTATTGGTTCTGCTGGGTGAAGGTTTTTTCTCACAGAAGTGAATTTGCTATACTGATCACAGCATTAGGAAAATCTATCATTCGGTAAAGGGGTGTGAGAGGTGGGGAGGGAGTGGGTTCACTCTCCACCAGGGTCACATCCACAACAATCTTATCGGTTAATCTTTGCTATTAAGCCGCTAAGTCGTGAATGCTATGCCATATGAGGCTAAATGTGGCATTATGAGCAGAAAGCGCTAGAGAAACGTTCGTCGGTGTAAGAGCTGGTTATCGCGGTTCTTAGTGGACATTTCGACTTTGCTCGAAATACCCTACCAGTAAAAAGCAAACTCATACCGCTCGCGTGGGAAATAAGGGATAGAAGCATGAAGTCACCCGTTGGTATTAGGTTGTTGCATAAGTTCTTATACACGACTTTTTTGTAAATATCTCAAAAACGAACCAGCCTGGAGATTAGAGGTATGCACCATCACCATTCACTACTCGACGCCAGCGCTCAGGCAGCTTGTCGATTCCATCCTTCCAGAACGACGGAGGCTGGGACTTGAAGTCGTCGAGCGCCTTTCTGACCTGATCCTTTGTTTCGAACTTTTTTCCGTCCAGATAGCGCTGCAGGTGGCTGAACAGCCAGTAGTCAGAAGGAGCGAGGTCAGGGCTGTAGGGAGGGTGGACCATCAGCCATCCGTACTTCTCCAGCTCGGCCTGGGTCGCCTTTGCAGTGTGAGGTCGGGCGTTGTCATGGTGGAAGTAGATTTCCGCATTCCTTCCACGAGTACGGTCGACGTGATCTTTCAATTTCCGCAGCTGGGTCACGTATGTGGAAGCGTCAATCGTCTGTCCCTTCTCCAGCAGCTCCCAGTACTCCATGCCTCTTCTGGACCACCAACAGGACAGGAGAACCTTTTTGGGGTGAAGGTCGGCCTTTGGGGTGGCTTCTGGCTGTTCTCCTTTGTCGACCCACTGCCGCTTCCTCACAGGGTTATCGTAGAGGACCCACTTCTCATCTCCAGTGATCATCGAGTTGAGAAAGTGAAGCCTGTTTTGGGAAAGTGAGGAGAGAAGTGCAGGTGGTCACCTCCTCGAGAGGTCATAAGCGGACAGTTCATGTGGGACCCATCGACCAAGCTTTGCTACCTTGCCGAGCTTTTCTAGTCCACGTGCAACCGTCGAATGATCATAGCTAAGCATGGTCGCCATTTCTCTGGTGGTGAGGGTACGGGTCCTATCCTCCCACGGTGGAACGTAGTACTTCCAAATCCAACTCCATCGGCCGACCCGACCTCGGAGCATCTTCGAGAGAAAAGTCTCCTTTCTTGAATTTGGCGAACCAATTCTTGCATGTCATGTAAGAGATGACGTCCTCACCGTATGTATCCACCAGCTTGGTATGGGCTTCCTTTGCATTCCAGATGTAACACGTTACGCACACGTGATGACGTAATATCCATGCGAACGAAATAGGAGAGGATCAAACACGTGTATAAGAACTGCAACAACCTAATAAATCCCTTTGTGGGATGGGGCACGCATCTATGGTGCTCATCATTGCAGACCGGTGGGGCGGGTGAGCCGCGCCGCGTGTGACTCGGCTGTGACGCGACTGTCATCGCTGCCGCGTCACAGCCGAGGCTCACCCGCCCCACCGGTCTGCAATGATGAGAACTGTAAATACTTCCAGTCAGAGTCGTAGTGGCTTATTGAATGCGATGTGATCTAATGACAATGACTTGCGGGGGATAGCCCACGTACAAGTAAATGTTCTTATCCTCCCAGATGTCTGGTATCAATTCACTGTCCCCGGAGGGCAGAAGGCTTGGTTATCCTGGGGAGTCGACCCAGGATTGAACCGAGGACCGCGCTATTGGTAAACCTGCCACTTGTCAATACTCCCCCTCCGGTGGTAGAGCTAACCATGCAATCAATGTAGTCTGACTCGGGTTCATTGTAAGAGACAGTGAAGCTGAGTACCTGCCGTGACCGGCGATCGTCGCCTGACTGGGTGAATGAATTCATCTTAATGTCATCGATGACGACAGCTTCCACTGGTTCATCGTAAACCGTAATGCCATGTTGGTCTCGTAGCCGCATCACCTCAACGGAGGTGAAAGTTGGTAAACCATCACTAAAACGTAAATCGTCAATCGTTTACTCATATATGACCATTTTTGTTTTCTAGAAGAATGTACAGTGTTATCGCGTTGCAGCTAAGGCTACGAATTCATCGCTGGTTCGCTGGGAGGGGAGGTTGCGACATTCACTGTACGAAAAGCTATTCGAAGACAAATAGTGCGTTCACCTCTGACTGAGGGTTGCCATGTGCGAGGCAACCCTGAAGCTGCAGTGGCGTGTCACTTTCACAGTTGGAAATTGCAAGTGGGAACGGGGTTGTGCAGTAGTGGTACCCCAGTGCCGTCTCTATACTCCGCCCGCGCACCGCTCAGGTTACGTCTACCAAGGTTCTTATCAAAACACGTACTGAGCGGTTGCGAACAACCAGAAGTGTGAAGTGCGCAGACAGGTAGCGCGGCTATGCTTAGGCGTGTAACTGGTCGTGCAGCAGCGCAGCCGGAGCATGAAGACGGCGCCTGGGTATCGCTAGCCTCCAGCCCCGTTATTAGGCACTTTGACTGGAAAAAGTGGTACGCTACCGTAGCTGTGGGCCCAGTCTCCCCACATAGGGCAAACACCATCCAGGTGAGTGTAAAATTTGTGTTTGAGGTAAGTATAGCCAGGCTGTATGCCAAATTTTCGCAAGAAAGTGCGCACTAAACGACACCAAAATCATGCTTTTTCATCGCAGTGATCGTTTTACTAAGCGCGAGTAGCTCGAATTCTCGCAATCGTAGACTGCAGTTCGCCGCGGACGAAGGGGCGTGTCAGTGCGGCTGCTTTTGGCGCTGGTGCCAAACTCGTTCTCCACCAGTTGTTGAAGCGAGCAAGTGACAAGACTGTATCATATGCAGGGCATTTTGTGTTGTCTTTGTGATCATCACAACAGGGGGGTCGTATTTGACCTCGAGGGAGGGGGGGGGGGGGGTCGTAAGCGCGGGGACCTTTCTGAAGTGAGGGTGCAGCGATACCCAGATGTCGTTCAGCTTCAATGATGAAAGACTTCCATGTGAAGAACCCCTGAAGAGACCCACACAAGACAGAAGCAACCTGCCAGCGCAGAAGTGGGGAACGGGCGATGACAGGAAATACGATGGCCGCCCACAACGACGTCATGAATTAATAAAAAAAGATAAAGGATAAAGTCTCCGCCGTTGATCAACCCCTTTGTGGGATGCGGCACGCATTCACAAGAAGCTAACTTCAGTATTACCGCCACGGTACCGTAACCCAAAGCGGCGCCCTTTAAATTGTAATTCTGTCGTAGGCGCGTTGAAAACATCAGCACGGACGCTGAAACTACGCCTGTGATTTTCTTTTTCTGGGTGGGAGAGAACGGATGTGTGTTTCGGATATTGTTGTGAGGATTTCGATGTGGAGATAGGCCTGATCTATCTTTCTATTACCATTGCTTCAAGCACTTTGACGGTGCTGCACGCTTGATGCTAACCAATGTGGATAGAGACGGCTTTCCAAGTTCGCTGTAGTAAACAATAAATTTGGTACTACGGTCGACTTATTAGCCTCATCGCCTCGAAAGGTGGAATAGGTGGTACTTGCATGCAGTTGGTCGCGTTCACAACTACAACTTTTCAACCTGGGAATAATTTTTTTCTCCCAAAACCTAGTTACAAATTGTGCAATCATCTTCTGAAGTAGAACAAACATTACTGTGGAATTAGGGAGCCACTGTTGAGAGGGGAACTGCTTGAGCACAGTTCCTCTGTAACACCGCCAAGATATGACGGTAAATTATGTTAAAAACTTGCCATCAGAAAAGTTGTCT